CCAGGTTACCTGTGCGTCGCTAGCTAGTCAATGAAGCAACCTTCTCGCGACCTCTCAGTCCAATATACCACAAAGCTGGAAGATTGCTGAGCCCGTAGGTGTGAGATCAGTGTGATGCGTGAGTTCTGCAATCCCATCGACGTGTGATGTATACAGCCAATTGAGTGTATATCTAGCATCACAGAGGGCAAGGACCTTGTAGCCACATGGAATTGGCTTGCTTGGTATTCGGACAGTATGGATACTGCGTGCACGGCATGCTACCATCATCTCATCTGCAGCAACATGTGTGCTTGGGTGGTAGTACTTCTGACTGCACTTCCTAAGGTGTGATGACAAAGGCTCGAGCTTCTGCCACCAGTCTTTACGCAGAAGTGTGGAGGGTGTGGAGATGTGTAAATAGCGCTTGATTTGTGTGTAGCGATCGAAGGATAGAGCTGCCTTGCTCAAGATACCACCACGACGAAAGGACCAATAGAGCCGACGTGAAGGAAGTCGTATAATACCAATAAGGATGGTAACACTAATAAAGCGCTTTAGATCGACAATACTCAAAGGCTTCCACTTCCTTGCATGCTTTGCACATGCGTACATGTTTGTTGCCTTGGTAATCTGATTAAGGTGTTAGGGGATACTGCAGCTAGATGTGATTTAGTGGTTTATCGATATCGTTGTGTTGTCTCTTGGTAAATGCGTATTTTAATAATGATGACAAAACCAAAGATATGGAATTCTAGCGTGACGCGTTTACGTCGTTGTAAGGTATGTATAAATACGGGCATCTATTGGAGTATGGCCCTGTGTTTAAAAGTCGTAACTGTCTTGGAGGTAATCCTCTGATGACTCGTCAAAGGTGACTTGGGAAGGAAGTTCACCGGTATGGAAGTAGTGGTAGTATTCTTCCCAAAGGTTGTGACGAACAAGGTATCGTGCAAGGTGTTCGTATTTGGCTCGAGTGTTTGCTTGGGCGTGCAAGATGCGAGCGTAGAGAATCTTCTGATCGTCTGAAATAGACATAAAAGTTTTGGTGAATATTCTTAAGGTTTTTAACTTAATAATATTTCAGGTGGTTTTCCGCTGTTGTGTTCTGACTGTGGTTTGTTCGACTGTTGCTTGAATTGTTGTGTTTAAACTTGTGGGTTTAAGGTGGTCTTTTATAGGTGAGTATTTCCGCGTCAAACCATCCTGCTAAGGGGTGACGGTACTTCTCTGTAATCTATGATGTGTGTGTATAGTACTATCTCAATAACACTCAGTCCACCGTAGTGGGTGTTCACATAACATCCGATCGTTGCTTCAGAGCCGATCTCGGTAGTTAGCTGTGGAGAGTTCCGTTTGACAACGTGTGGTTGCGTAAGCCCCCACCAGGAGTTCTCAAAGGTTATCCTGCATGTTGTGACGTTGCTGACATACATATCGGACCATTACTTCGTATTAGTTATCTTTCTTCGTATTGAGTGGAATAGTGATCAATGATTTAATGAGCTGCCAACCCATACATTGCCACGTACCTAGTGTCATCGGGTCTTATCCGTGTTCCCCGAAGGGGGTGCCCTCTATCAGTTATCGTGTTGCAAACACGGCAGAGCTGGGGTTCGACAGTCTAGATCCAAGCACTTATCTTTTAGATAGAGTTAACTACCGGGGCGCAGTTAGCTTATCTCCTTTGCTTAGTCTAGCTCTAGAGATAGCAAAGTCCCGCATACTAAGATAATATGGCTTGTCCAACCAAATCCATGAAGCTAAGCACGGGTATGGTTTGTCCCAGTATTAGCATGATAACGAAGATAACACTGGTCTGATCCGTAACGCACAGCTGATCCGAAGATCCCTGCTCGGCAGTTACATTGCTTCGGCAGTATGGTTGGTATGTCCCATGCCTTGGCCAGTACTAAGGGTTTTTATCCCCTCGATTACTGTCTGATCGAGTGTGTGTACTGTCTCCACACTGGGTAGCTATTCCCTATGCTGAGACGCAGTATTGTAGCATGGACTATTATGGGGATTTCACCCGGCTATGTTGAGCCATCCGCTAACTCATCAGTAGACATCCCCAGAGGTGTGACCTTAACCGCTGATTCATCTTTGAATAACGGCAAGCCTGGGAGACTAAGCCTGATGTACTTCGTACGCATGCTAAGGGGAAACCCCTAACATAAGGATAGAATCGTCCCAAAAGAGAGTGAAAAAGGAAATTGGTGTATACGGTGTATTCTCAGGAATATGGGCTTCGGCACTATGTTCGGAAGCAGGATGCTCAAGAGGGACAAAGGTCTCGGGAGGTTGTGTTATTGGCTTCTGCTTTTGTTTGTTGCGAGGTGGGTAGTTGAGAGAGAGTTCAGCCAGAGGCTTTCGGACACGTTTGGTAGACATTGAGGGTTTATCGTATGGTGTTTACAATTGAGCTTCAAGCGATGAGGTTCATGATGCTTAGTAAATCACATCTAGATTAGGTTAGACTGTCGGGGCTAATGCATAAGAGAGATTTTCCAAGTCTCACAACTCCAGGGGATAGGTATGTACGTATGAGGGCGATCTGAAAGAACATCGAGACCACGGTTGGCCTTTCAAGTGCAAGGACGACACGGTATCCGGTATTCCTATTCAACAGTGCCACGTATGAATTATAAATCCGTACACTGGAGCGATCATCAAGTCACGAATATGATTTATCACCAGGCAGTTTTGGCTGGTTTAATTTCTTCTCTTCTCGCCAATATTTGTAGTTTGTATCGAGCACAGCTTGATTGGGTAACTAGCCCTAACCGCTATCGACGCCATCTGTTATGACTCGCAGAGTGCCAAACCCCAACCCTAGCGGCAAGACAAAGTGAGTGTGGATATAGGTAGACCTGATTGAAGTAATCCTCCGCCTGGTGTATTTTAGACAAGAGCTTCGCTATGGCTCAGATTAACGCCCGAAATTTTTCCAAATTTGTACTTATACTTTTAAACTCCAATTTCTACAGACACATCGGTGAGCAGATAGATAGGTAGAGAGCAAAGAGGAAGAAGAAGAGGGAGAGGCAAAGGGAGAGGGATGGCCACCCAGACACCAAGAGGCTGTCCCTGCCACACTGAAGAAGAGGTGCAATGCCACCCCATCTTGGATCACTTACAGTCAGTTACAGAACTTGCAAAACCAAGCTAACCAAAACAGAACCAGAGCTTATCTAAGTCTTGACCAGCCATTCCAAAACGTTGTTACCCTCAATAAAATTTTGGGCACTTTCTACACACGAGCTGATTACTTCTGAGTTAGACTTCCGCAGTCAAAATTGAGAATATCTACTGCAAATCATATTGTTTTGTGATGGAGCATAGTGTCCAGAAAATGTTCCGGATGGTAATGGACAGAAGATGGACGGGTATGCGGCCGCGGAGATACGAATCACCGCGAGTAACCGCATCCTTTCCGGACCGTAGAAGCACAACACTTATACACTCGCACAAAGTCGATTTTCGTTCGACGCCAGTGCTATTTATATTACCATCTCACTCGTTTAACAGTATGATTGTTACTCTAGCCACCGCCGGGTGACGCGATTGGAATTTGGATATCTGGGTCTGTTACGCGCATGCAACTAGACAGAATATGACGCTCGAATTAACCATTATGCCCACTACAGTACAGAGATACTTGATATACCAATTTCCCAACGCCGCCTTTTATCCATTCCTTACTAGCTCGTAACGGTGACTTATGGTTGAGAAAGTCCATGGATAATCATACAATATCACTCTCGCCAACAAATACAACATAAGCTAACTCTCAATATCTCCCAGATTACCACCACCATACACCGCACACCGCACTCCACCCACTGCGGTTCTTGCTGCTGAGGTACACTTGTGCACCTGCCGTGACTCGAACCCTGAAAGGTCCTTACACTCCCCCGTGGCTTGTGGGAGAAGTTGCTTTGTGGAAGCCCTGAGATTAAGAGCAGCGCGGGGGTTAGCGGCGTGGGCTACGTTGAGAGCAAATGGATGCGGGCGACAGCAATAAACCCGAGTTTCCGCCGAAGGATGTTCACGGCACAAACCCGGGGGATATCGATGGGGTGACTGACATCGTGGATCTTATGCTGCTATATGGGAGGCTGGTGTTTCGAGCGGATTATATATATGATGTTTTTAGTACCTGTTAGTGTTTATACCCCCGTGAATGATCTCTACAGGTTTTGAGCCTGCGATCTAAAGTGTTTACAGCATCTTCAATGATCAGAGTAGCTGCAGGTTTCGAGCCTGTTACCTCGCGCTTAAAGCGTCATACCCTGCCAGTTAGACTAAGTGATCAATTCCTGTATCTGCTGCGTTTCTAGCAATGATGTTGTAGAATTGTAAAACTAATATTTAGCAATCATAGAACGGTCATGAGTTTTCCATCACAGAAACTGCCGCAAGACAGACAGGAGAAGAGTAAAAAGCGATCTTTACAGGTTTAGAGCCTGCGATAGTAGAGTTTACAGCACTACAAGTTTCGAACCTGCACCCGGCATTTACAGCGCCGAGCCTGATGTTTCTAGCACCACACTCAGCTAAGTAGTTGTTCTTGTATATGCGTTGATCCAGATCCTTGTCATGTAAACTTTGTAAAGTTTCTAGTACACGTAACAGATGATATTTCCGTGTATTCCCAACAGCGGCCGTGATTATCCCGCTGCATGACACTACTAAAATGCAGGCTCCGGGGGTAAGGTAGGAACAAAAGAGTGATTAATCAAGTTTAGAACCTGTGTTTTCAGCACTGTAGGTTTCGAACCCGCATCCGGCGTTTACAGCACCCGGTGTTTCTAGCACCATATTCAGCCAGATAAGCTAAACAGTTGGTTCTTGCATATGCGTTGATCTAAACTACCATGTATAAGAGTTTCTACTAAATAACAAATGATACTTCTGTGGGTTTCTAGTAACCAGTACTGTGTGGGTGCAACTAACGCTGCTATTAAACGACAGGAGCAAAAGAGTGGTTAATGTAGGTTTAAAGCCTGCGATAGTATTTACAGCACTGTAGGTTTCGAACCTGCACTCGGCGTTTACAGCGCCAGGTGTTTCTAGCACCATGCTCAGCCAGTTAAGCCAAGCTGTATATGCGTTGACTCAAATCATCATGTGTGAATTTAAAGCTTCTAGTACATAACAGATGATACTTCCATGGAATCCCAGCAGCCGTGGTATCCCTCGCTAATAAAGATAGACTCCGTGGCAGGAGAAAAAGATAGGTTTCAAACCCACAACCCCACTACTAGTGTTTACCGCACTGTTAATTATCAGAGAAGGTTTCGAGCCTGCAGCCTGGCGTTTGTAGCGCCATGTCCCTACCTTTAGGCTAAGCAGTTGGTTCTTATTATCCGCTGCGTTTTCTACCATGACCATATACTCTACACCTTCGTTCGTAAACGACCCAGGCGTAGGTCCAGAAATATTAAGATACTTATTTTTGGAATGATTCCGAGCTCTGATCTCAATAGTATTCCCCGCCAACTACTGTACCGGGCTTTGAGGTTACAACACTTTTTTGACGTGACACTTTTTTTCTATTATTGAATGGACAAGAGTGGACCAAAAATGCAATAAAATCTTTTCAAGGTGACAGGTGACGTTGTAACCTCAAAGCCCGGTACAGTATTCGATTCGATTTTGCAATACTCTACTCCCATTCTTTTGGAGATATTATTAATTCCGAGCCGGAAGAGACTCTGAAACTTAACTATACGAACAAAGGGATAACAAATGCAGACCAAAAGAAGTAGTGATTATCACAAGTTTCGAGCCTGCGACTTCCGGGCGGCGGATATTTATAGCACCTAGTGTTTAAGCTAACCGTTCGGCTGTTTATAGGAGCATGGTTGTTAGAGTAGGCGCGGTGTTCTGATATCCGGGGTAGGCATGCGAGCTGATTCTGGGACGTTTCACAATCTTCTTTTTCTGGCGCGATGACGTCAATATTAAACGCTTCACACTTTCCTGGTGGCGGTGGAATAAATTCCATTTACACCAGCCACGTCTTCACTGTTGAATCTCCGATTCTTATCTCGGGAAGTTGAGTTATTCATGAAGACTATATTAAGCAATAGTTCCGAATTCCAGACAGGTAATTTCTGGCTATAACAAGGCAGAGCGTAATGGGGCTTGTTCTGTTCTCCGGAGTTGTTTGGAGAGTAGCAAACCGAACCTCTTTGTTGAAAATATAAGTACCGGGGTTTGGTGGAGAGTGTGTAGGGTTGCTGTAGGTTTGGGAAGAAAACTACAAGGTCTTACAGTAAAACACTCCAGCCCAGTGGCGTCAGTTGTCTACTAGGCCTTGCATGATCATGAGACGAATGGAAATTGATGTAGAGTACTCTATGATAGTATTCTTCCCATCCATCCCATTACTGTTTATCATAAAAGGAAAGTACAAGAAGATAAGAAACCATCTTTCATTAGAGCGGCTTGGGTCCCAACTCAAGATTAATCCCTCGAGATTAGTGAATTTCCCTTCAGAACATCGGCTCAGGTACAATCTCAAGATGGGATCCCAACAGTTTAAAGGAAAACAGAAAGCCCCCGCGTAAATAAGTACATGCATTCCCAGATGAAAAAAGACAATCGTCAACCACCCAAACCAAACAAGACGAGAGAAACAAACCGAGATCCACCCCTAACGCCGTAGATAACATGATATAAGTTGGAGGATATGACAGCAGGGAAATATAAGTCTAGGGTCTCTAGGTGTACCATCCAGTGGCACTGATAATGGTAGCTTCCTTCGCTCTAGTTGGGATGATAGATTCTCGAATATCAAATACTTCGATAAATTGTTTCCACTGCCACATCGTTATGGAAAAGATGATCTGATTGCGTTGCACGATGCCGGCGTCCTTCTGAGAGGCGTTGGCAGGTTCAGAGAGCGCTGTAATTACCCTATTAGATGTGTACTACAACTCTGGACGAAAAAATTACCAATCATGGGCAGCCCAGTATCCTCATCTTCATGAACCGCAATGTGTCCTTCCTTTGCCAAAAAACTAACAAAGAAGATATTCTCGACAGTCTGACCAAAGCTTTCAGGATTGATGACAGCATTGAAAAAACATAGTTCATCACCAGGGAGGTCGTTCTCTTCCAGGTAATTCTTGAGGATGATTTGGACCTCATGGACCAGCTTTAGCGTGTTGTTTTCGCTCTGCTTGATATCTTCCGCCTCGACATTAGTTGGTACTGCCGCTTTCTCCCCTTTCTTGCGGCCAAGTCCTTGTCGCCGCGTTTTGTGCAGTCGTATTTTCTTCTGCACACTCAACGGACCTAGCAAGAAGTCGGATGTAGCGGGGCGTTTGTTTCCCTTGAATGCTGCGGCGCGACCAAAGTACGCCCAGTCCATTGCATCATCACCATCCTCCTCTTCTTCGTCATTGGGATCCGCATTCCTCATGAAAGAAATACACTTCCCCACAAACTCATCAACGTCGATTCCCACACCAGAAGAGCCAACCACCATATTTGAAACCTTCTTCAGCGCGAGATCCGACGCGGTGACCAGCAATCGTGAATCGAGGGTTGCATCAGAAGTTTGTTTGACATTCTTATAGAGCTCATCCGCCTTCATAAACGTCTTAAGTAGGCCATCGTTATCGGGACGCAAGAATTCCGTTTTACTTTCTGTGATGTTATGTCAGCGACAGCCTTGTGGGGGGCTGGGGGGTGGGGTTGGGGCATAAATACCGTCGAGCCTCCGCTGCAACGTCCGGTATCCCTTCCTGACTTCTCTCCGCTCATGTGCAGGCTGGTCGGGGTCGTAGACAGATAGGTCGCCCTCCACGTCAAGGACTTTCTGGTGGAGAGCTTGCGAGGGATCCAGATCGCGGAGACCTCTACCATTGTTAGCGGTGGATGAAGATGTGGTATGGGCGTTTCTGCTGTTTTTTGTCGCGGGCGTCGCATTCTCTTTGTCAGAGGAAGCATGGCGCGTTGTGCGGGCCGTACGCGATGTGGGGGGGGCAATATCCTCGTCAGAAGCTTCCACATCAGTGGGGATTTCGACAGACGAGCGTGCCATTGCCACAGAAGCTGGCGATGTAGATGTGGAAAGTGTGAGGTAGGAGGTACAGCAGCTGGCGTTGAAAGTTGACAATGATGTGAGAGATGAAAGATGTGAGATGTGAGACGTGAAGCGGGAAAGTCGGAAACGCGTGTTGAAAAGGGACAAAGTTTGTGCCCTGAAACCACTTAACGAGCGCGGCTTGAGCACCCATCGACGCGGATAGCGCTAGGGCTGAACAACGGCTGCCAGAACGGCAATGATCTAGAATGCAAGCATTTCTGCAATATTTATTTATTTAGAGCGCCTCTTAGTTGCTTAACACCCCCACCCATCTTGAAGAAATATTATGCATAAAGCTCATACCCTGCCCTCAAAGGCGACAGGTGACATCACGCGAGGCTTGGCGGTAACCAAACATCAACACAACATCAAACATCACGCATCACAGCTCGACAAGGTATCCCAATGCAATGGTCAAACGCAAAGTCCCCTCCACCTCACTCCCTCACTCCACCGTAATCCCACACACAAGAGAAACCCGCCGCCTCTTAAACCGTCTCAACAAGCCCGCGCTCACCAGCATTGCCCTGCGCTGGCTCGATCCCTCCAATGCCCACCTCTACTCCCCAAAGCTGGAAACGGAAGATGGGGATGAAATTCCTCTCGAAGCAGCAACGGAGATATACGACGACTTCACCCGGGCGCCGGCGATTCGCGCTAAAGATGTGGCCGAGCACATGCTAGAGACGGAGTGGAGGGAGGGCGTCACACTGCTAGGGATTGCAGAGTTGGAGTGGCAACGTACATCTTTCTCTTCTCCGCAACAAATTGCAATGCTAAAACAAAATATTAAGACCTCCTCGACCACCCAGCCTCAAGTAAATGGCAAGCTTTTCTCCTCGCCCCACTCACCAATTCCCACACGCCCCTCCGACCACGATTCCACACCCCGGCCTTCCTCTCTTCCCTACAGGGTTCACTGAAGCCGATGCAAACGGCGCATTTCTTTGCGACTACACACCCGACACTACCGCTAACGATGATCCGTGTCTCTCTCCACGATCCGCACACACCTCCAACCTACCCAATACGGAAAAAGATGTTCTGGCTCGCATTCCCGTCGGGGGGAGATCATGTTTTCACCAACCTTGGCGCTACAAATACGGATGGATTGAGGGACATATTGATGGCAGGGATTGCGAATGCGGTTTCGAGGGCAGGGTGCAGGTTTGAGTTGAAGCCGGGCCGGTTTACAGCAAAGACGTTGGAGAGCATGTGTACGCACCGGGGTACTGAAGGTGCAAGTGGAGGGATGGCAGCGGGATGGAGCATCTATGTCGACGGCTTCGAGAACAGTCCTCTAGCTGCAGCCAAAGAAATTGCGGAGGAAGAAAACAGGGAAGAAGACGCTGCGACGAGGAAGCGCCGGAAACTAGTAGCTGCCAGGTTCGGGAAAGCTAGTCTGGGAGATGGCGCGGCGATTGAGAGCGCATATTTCGAGGTGCAAGAGAAGTTTCCAGGGAAAGAAGGAGAGGTAACGTTTAGACCCACCATCGGAGTCCAGTTAGAGGGGAAGCATGTGTATGCTGGGATCCGAAAGATGGCGGAAAGGGGAGAGGGGTTCGTAGTAGAGAAGCTTCCGGGATGGATGGTCGGTGAAGAGGGAGTGAGTAGCGGGATTGTGAGGGATCGTAAGGTTCTGAGGAAGAAAGGTGATGGGAAGTTTATCAAAGCGTGAGGCTGTACTTTTACTTCTATGTTTTCTTTGGTTTTTCTTTAGTTTTCTTCGGTGTTCGGTGCTGCTTGTTTACGTGCTCCAGTGGGCTCTCTATATACTATGTACTCGTCATGCAAGCTCTGGGCATTTTAATGCATTGCGTGTAATAAGGCGTTGTGTGGTTTCAATGGACTTCATATTTCATAGACCAGAGCCTTCACGAGAACCGAGACCCGCCAACGGAGAAGGAGGAGAAGCTCATGCAGGCTGAGGTCCCTTCAATATTACTTACTCTGAATGCTCTGCTTCCGGGAACAGCTGTGACCCCCTAACTCTAGTTACAACCCCT